TTTTCCTCTTGTATCTTGGCTGGACTATCTAAAGAAAACTTTTTTCTAGAGTGTCTTTCTTTTGGGGGAGCCACATGGACAGTGGGAATTCTGACATTAAACCCACATAAATAAAACTACTTAGAAATTCTTAAGAAGGTTTAATTTTTTCCACCCTACTTCACCCAACTCCAAGGCAAGGCCAACAGAAGCATAAATGCCAAACATCTCCTCTGTAACGTGTGTGGAATAGGTTTCCTCCTGGGTTGAGAATGTGCACATCTGGGTGAACCAGCCTTGTGCCCAAGCTCTCTAATCAGACCTGTTCCCTTGCTAGAGCTTCAAGTTGTACTGGGCACAGCCCAGTAAACTATGAGCTGTAGGCCCCTTGAGGGTTGTTAGACGGCTTCTCTACTGTTTGCTTATCTTTTTAGATTCACACTTCATCTCTGGCCTCCAATCCATCCCTCTATTTTCTTGCCAGCCAAGTCATGCATTCAAATGACATTTTAAATATTTTATTCAGCATTTTAGTTCTGCCTGGAGGGATTAGTTTGCCATGTTTCTGGAAATAGAATTCTAAATCTTGTTTTGTCTCATCTTCAAAAATAGTGCTTTCTTGATCACTTTGTATTCATTAGCATTTTCAGACTAGTCTCTGTATGTCGGACACAGCTATGGGTCTCCCTTAATCTTCTTCTTTCCTAACATCTTTTTTTCTTTTTATCTCTTATTTTATTTTTCTTCTCTCTCATTCCTTCTCTTCTTCCTTCCCTCCCTTTTTTCCAATCCTCTTTTTTTTTTTTTTTTCCTTTTAAGGAATCTAGAGCCCCAGAGCCCAAGACGCCAGTGTGTTTTAAGGGAGAATAAAAGAATCATTGTCTACTGCTCCAAACAGGAATAATAGTGAATTCTCAATTTATGTTCATTCATATTACAAGATGTGTCTTGGTCAGTGTGGGCTGCTATTAAAAAGGACCGTAGACTGGGTAAACTATAATAAGAACAGAAATTTCTCATAGATCTGGAGGCTGGAAGTCCAAAATCAGGGTGCCCACATGATTCAGGTCTGGTGAGAATCCTCCTCTGGGTAAAAGACTACCATCTTCTCATTATATCCTGTGTGTGTGTGTGTGTGTGTGTGAAAAGAGGGTGAGAGAGCTCTCTGGGATCTCTTTTAAAAAGTTACTACTCCCATTCATGAGCTCCCACCTTCATGACTTAATTACCTTCCAAAGTCCTCACATTCTCTTATCATCCATCTGGGGGTTAAAATTTCCATACATGAATTTTGAAGGGACACCTTCAATTTATTGCATAAGATATATGGTGTCTTATAACTTTGTATAGATTAAAGAATATGATTTATTTAATACATATCCATAAAGTATCTGCTATAAACCAGTGACGGAGGACCCAAGAAAACATAAGGCTTGGACCCTGTCCATGAAACCCTTACAATTCAGGGACACACACTACTTCAATCACTAAGCATTTGCCTCCTACAAAGTGTGTCTCTCACCTGGCTTCAGAACAGTGCCAATGATTAGAGACAGGAAGAACAGGACAGATAGCCTCTTGGCAAAGGAAATGACCCTTCTTATCTCATCACAATGGGCTTCACTAGACTTTAAGTATCCTTGCACAATTGCCCCAGACTTTGTCTCATTTATTTACACAGCACACATTTATTGAGAGCCTACTATGTGTGAGGCACCGTGGTAGGCACTGGGACTCCATTGTATGAGTAAGTTCCTTCCCCCAAACAGCAAGCTGCATGGGGTATTCAGTGCACAGATTCTGAAAGCCATAATGGGGGAAGCACCAAGTGCTAGGTGAACAAAGAGGAGGGGCAGAAGAGGAGCTTTCCAGAAGAGGACATTATTAAAGGTAATCTGTTTATGGGTGTTCCTCTTTAAGAGACCCCTTCTCCCCCATGAGCTAATCATGAAGTTTAGGAATGAGTGACAGGCATAGTCTGGTCCCTGGAATTGGGATTTTATCTGGGAAACAAACATCATCTAATTATTGCTTTATTGAATTTGTATGAGATTGTTTTTAAGCCTAAAAAAGAAAATCACAAAGCATTTTTCTTGTTGGCAGTACAGTTAAGCTTGCTTTCACATTCAGGGAGAACAGAAGAATCTGCTTTGAATGATTGTGTAAACTGAGCAGGGAGCTCCGAATTAAAAAAATAAACCTTCAGTAAGTCAAAATGCAGACATCAATTCAAAGAATAAAAGAACTCTCCATGGGTTCTTTACAACCACAGCCTGCTGACCTCAAGTAGCTCTTTTTACAAGAGTTGGCACTGGCCATTACAAAAAGTATTATCGTACACTTCAGTATTTGAAGAGTTCTGAATTGGGATGGGTAAAATAACAACCTAGAGATAGGACTGTTTCTACAAGCTCATTTTCCATTTAGCACAATGTAAAGTGGAAATAATTGTTTTGTTAATATCCAGTCTATTAAGATCATGCTTAGTCTGGTATCCCATTACATGTGAATTTTTATTAGCATAAAAGTGCAAAAGAAGACAACAGATAATTCATAGAACTGTAGGTGGGTGGGCATTTCCCCAGATGTACTGCCTCTGTTCTTGGTATACCAGTTGGCTAGAGCAGGGCCCAGCCGATGACGTACTGCATGTAATCTTGGTTGTACATCACAGCTGAACAAACTGCCCTGGAGTCTGAAGGGTCAGCGCACTGTAAACAGAAATCAGCAGTGACCTATGGAGTCGTCTCAAGACATAATAAATACTGTCTTCATGCTCCTTCCACCTTCTGCTGATTCAGGTATTCTCCTGCACCATGGGGCTTGTCTCTGGAACAATATTTCAAATCCAGCAGACCATTGTGTTTGGAGCAGATTTTCTAACTGTGCTTTTAATTTTGGCAAAATAGCTTCTAGCGTCCTCTGAAAATGTCATCATGCACATGGAGCTTCATTGAGAAAGCATAAAACACTTTTTTAGAACACTCCATTAGCTTTGGCTGCCATTAGTTTTGCTATTCTGGAAGAATTTCTTCAAGGTTTAAGGGATAAAAACAGAGTTCATTTTTCAGTCCAGAATAAAATTTGTGGCAGAATCATTAACTTTTCATCTCCTTGAAATCCTTCAGTGATCCTGTATACCTTTATTAAAGGGTATCTAGGCCAGTATTAGCTCCTGCCAAAGTAGGGCTGGCGCATATGCATCGTGATCCCCTTGCCCGGGACAGCCACAAATCAACCAGGGAACGTTGTTGTACTAGTCCCTGCCCATGTTGGTTAAAATGACTTTTCAGATTATGTTCAGCGACAGGGGATTATGCTCACCTATGGGGGTATTTTAAGACAGAGCTGCTCACCTGGGCCTGCTGACTTGATCTGGCGAGAAAACAACATATCTCCATGTTTCCTGTGCACCTCAGGGAAGAGGAGAAAAGGTTTAGGAGGCTGTATGAATCTACCTGAGAATATTTTCTGACTTCCACCATGGGCAAGATTCACATAGATTTGCTTATCCAAGGGGAAGCCCTGTATAAGGACTAAGTCTGTTCTCAGAAGAGTCATATCAGACGCCGTACTGCTAGACATAATGTAAAAGGGAGATGGGAAGAAAAACTTCCGCTACCCAAACCAAACAGAAAGCTCAATCCATAACCTACAATAACTTAATCCAGATGGTCATATTTTCTTTAGACTGTAAATCATTTCCAGTGAATTTACTGTTTCTTCTTTTCTATTCTTATAGTTAACATTTTGGCTTGCCAAGTTCTAGTCATCCAAGAAGAGGAAAGATCAGATGCTTAAGATTAAACAGTTCAAAGTCAATGATATTTGGTTAAGATAAACAAGTGGAATAAAATGGACTGCAGACACCCAGGCCCCAAAGCTGAAACTTGTTGACTGGGATTTATGCTTATTAGATAGTTGGTTTTTACTTGGAAGTCAAATGGTTGTGAAAGATTAAGCTAATGATAGTGGCACCAAGAAAAGATGGATGCATTATACTAAAGAGATGGTCTAAACTCACCGATAGTGTGGCCTCATTTAAAATCCCAGCAGAATTTCCCAGTGAAATCAAATGACAACAATAAGAAATTAAGAGTGGGCTGGCATATGTCGATCATTCACATCTTGAACATAGAGGCCTGTGATCCTGAGGTAGGAAATTTTCATGAGAAGAAATGAAATTAGAAATTTTAAAAAGAATGAAAACTCAGAGAAGCCTGACTTCTGTTTACATTTTAGCAATTCCTCACTTTGCTCGAGATGTGTTTAAAAATGAAAGCTGAGGGTTTTGTATGACTGGGTAAAAGTAATTTTAAGCTCATTCATCAGTCATTTTTACCCAATACCACTTGATTTTTAAACTCATTGCTTTGCTTGGCAAATAAGGATATTCTTAGCTTATTTTAAAAAAAGAAGAAAAAAAGTATTTATTTTTATTCATTCATTATAATTATGCACAATACTGGAATTTGTGGTTATATACATGCACTTAGCATAATTTGGTAATGTCATTACCCATACCTCTCCTTTCCCAACCCTCTTCTGCCCCCTGGATCCTCTTCCTCTACTCTCCTCTAGTCCACTGGCCTCTCTTCTATTTTCATGTGTATTTTTTATATTTTATATGTGGAAGATGTGGGGGGGGGAGTGGGAAAATAAAAAGGGTGGGAGGACTTTTTAGCTTACCTTGAATACCATTTCTTCTTTGGCCTTCCTGTCTACCTCTCGTGCTCACTCCCTTCACTTCCCGTGCTCCCCTCCCTTGGCTTCTTGACAGCACTGCTTAAATGTAGCACCCGCCTAAAATGTTTCCCAATTTAGAAGATCCTACTTATTCTTCAATACAAAAGGCCACATATCTTTCCTGGACATCCAGACATCATTCTGCACATGTCCGTGCGGTCTCAGTTGGCATACGCTGTGTAAGGGCAGGAACCATGTCTTTTGTAAGCTTCTGTGGTTTCTGCTCCTGTGTCATGACCCGTGTGGGTGCTCAATAAATGTTAAATCAAAGTGAATTGCTTTCCAGGGCATTTATTGGCACATGTACTCCGGTGGGTCAAGATCCATCTCTTTCTGCAGTGCTCAGTGGTTTTTCTTTTTGAATGCATTCCCAACTAGGCCAGAATTGTTGGAGGTCTCTGAAAATTGTTCACAGCTTGCTGAACAAGGAGGCGACATGACGGTATTACTGTATTGCCTCCATGCTCCAAGCTTTACAAATCAAAGAAATTCCACTTAGGTTGTACAAATGGTTGTCCTTTCTCTTTTGTTCCCCTTTGCTTCTTCTTCCTCCTGGCCTCCCTCCTTCTCTCCCTTGCTCCCTTCCGTCTTTTCTTCCCCTCTTCCTCCCCTCCCTCCTCTCTTTCTTTTACTGTCTTTCTAACAAAGCTCTCTTGTGAAGCTCAGACACTCCTAACGGGATCCAAGGGCACTGAGCTGTCTTTTTCAGCCCCGCACAGCTAGACAAATGCATCTCCAGAAGCCCGGCCTCCCACCTCAATGGAGGAAGGAGTCAACAAGTCTGAGCTGCCTCAAGGTTGGCCCTGCTCTCTGCCGGGTGGCATTGGCCCCGTCAGCGGGAACACTGAGTTCCAGCTTCAGGCTTTCAGTTCTCCCTATAGCTTAATGGCTCACAGACCTTTTCTGAGACAGCCGGATAACAATGTACCTTTTTGATAGCCTGACTCTTTTTTCCCCCTGTTGAAATCTCAAACTGTACTGTATAAAACATTCTGTCTCCCATTGTTCCATCAACAAGGCCTGAATAGCCAGGCAACCACTCCTGCCGTATTCATGTATTTCCTTGGATTCTGCCCCCCATCCCCCCACCATCACAATAAAAGAATAAGGGGAAAAGACTAAGGTTCAGGGTTTGTATGATGGCTGGTAAAAGCCTCTGTGTGAGGTCCTTGGCGAGATAATCTCATTCTAAAGATCTGGGTGACTGGAATTTCCCTTCCTCCCATCCCCCCCTCTCCCGCAGACATCCCCTCCCCAACATCCTGCTAATACAAATCCTTAAGCATTAAGTCAGGCGGAAAATGAGTCTACTCTACATTTATCTTCCTGAATGGCAGTCAACTCCTGCTTAATCTTTCAACATATATTTGTTCAATGGATCAACAGATTGTGTAAGCAGCATGACGGTTGGGTTTAGCAATGTGTCTGCTCATGTTTGGTTTGTGCTGAACCACTGACCATTTTGTTTGTGAATCCATCATAAATTATATTTCTGCGTTACCCAGCACCAGGATGGGGACAGAGGGCAGTGCTCATACAGGCAGAAAGACTGTTTTAGTCACTGTCATCTTCCAGCACTGAGAATGCTGACTTGTTTTATTTTGTGAATGCTTCCCTCCTCAACTCCCGCAAATCTTTTTAAAATCTTAAATTTATTTTGTTTCTTTCTTCTTTTCTCAAAGATGTCTCTTATATATTCTTCTGCCATTCTTTCTTCATTAAAATAAGACTTTTGGGATACAGAGTAGGTAATAAGATAGTATGAAATATGAATAAGAAGGATAAGAATTAAAAATCTTATGACTTTCCTAATTATAATGTCCTGATTCCCTATATGGATATATTGATTCAAATCCTTGCTTCTCAAAAAATAAGAAGAATTTATTAGGGTGTTAGGAGATTGAAGAGTTGATCATTTGATTCGTGGCATGATTGATTTGACCGTGTTCTTTAGAATAATAGTTGTTTTGCTGAATTTTCAATCAGCCATTATTTATCGAGCATAGAAAGACAAGAACAAATTTCTTGGCTTCAATAACTTAGAAAAGTAAAATCATATATATATATGTATATATATATAACAATATTAAATAAAAATGAGAGGAAGAGAAAATTTTTATATGTGTTATAGTAGCTCAATACACAAGAAAGAAGTTTTCAAGAAAGTTTTTATACTCATTTAAACAATGTTTGGTAATATTAATTGAACACCAGTGTTTTTGATCTTGGGGCATATAGTGTAAAGTAAAATAGATTTATCTTCCATCCACATGAGGCTTAAGTTTGAATTAGGGAGACAAGAAGTAGGAGTATGGCTGAGGGGGAAAAAATTGATGTCAACCATCATGTCCAAGTCACGTCCAGATAAGACCTGAGAGCAGGAACAGCCAGGAGATCACACTTTCTGATTATGATGAGAAAAATTCACACAAAGTGGAGACTTACTAGATAAAAGGATATTCCTATACATTTTGAATGTCACAGTCTTACATGTCAAAATGGAAGAAATAATCAAGGCAGAATTGTACCCAGACCAGTAAATAATACTGATATTATATCAGTAAATAATAATAATAATAATAATTTTAAAAAGCCTATTATTGATATTGTGTTTTAACTCTTCAGTTACCTCTAATAATTATGTTAACAGCTTGGGAAACTATTGTTATCCTCAATAGAAAGGTAAGGTAATTGCAAGTACAGGTGGACAATTTCTAGTTAATGGGAGATTTGGCACCAGAGTCTAGGTCTCCTGATTCCTAGTTCTGGCCTTCTTCCTCTTCTATATACACCGTTCTTCTACTAAGCTTCAAAATGAAGGGTAAAGATATTGATTTTAAAACTCATTTATTGATTCTTTATTCTGCCGGGGAGCAATGACCAGTATTTTTCTAAAGAAAGGTACGTTTTATTTTTTGTCAGTGAATCCATGTACAGAGGTTAAGACAAATTCTTTGCAAATGGAGATAACCCTGTTATGATGATATAGCACTGACTTGTGCCTACAAACACATCGATTGTGAAGTAATAAAAGAAGTCACATGACATCTAGTAAACAAAATACCAACAAAATTCTTTAGGAGGTATTGAATTGAGAGTCATTCAGGTATTGGTGTGTTTGCCTAAATTTGATGGCATTGAAAGAATCACAAAAGCTGAAGTTCTAGACCCAGAATTGGTTGTGATATGTGATGTGTTTTTCTTTAGTAGCTTAAAAACCATGACCGGTATTTCCACAGTTCACCAATCAGTTCCCTTGAATGTAGAAATAGAAACTCACTCTAGCCATCCCAAGAAAGGAAAAAGGGTTCTCTGAGGTTTCTGAAAGTATGTTAGGAAATAGAGGTGACAATATGAACTTCTAGCTCCTATTTCTGGGAAGACATGGGAACCTTGGCCTTCCCTTGATAATGTTGGTTTGGGCAAACTTTGGATCCATTGGGTCCAATCATGTAAAGGTCCCAAGGTATTGAATATCACTTTGTATCTTCAGAGGAGGGTGTGGGCAGAGTGATCTCTATCCTCTGTTGTGATAACCTTTCTATTCTCTTTGTTTTACACCACAGCTGATGGACTTGATAGACTAAAATTCCCTCCAATTTGATTAAGGTTGATCTGGTTACTTATAATTGCGAGAAGCATAACATCATTTTGCTTGTACTATATTTTATTATGTAATATTTGATTTCCTCTAAAAATAGAGGAAAATTGTAATATTCAAAATGACCATATTAGTCAATGGCAGGGACAGAAATTAGAATGCCGCATACTCTGGCCATATGGACAATGGTTATGCCAATGTTTCTTAATACAAGAAAAGAATAAAATTATCCATTATTTAGTTACCTCTGATAAATAAAGTATCTTTGCTAATAAGGGAGAAAGGACAGAGAAAATATATGAGTTAAGTTTTCTCTTTCTCTATTCTCTTCTTCTTTTTCTTTAGTAGCTTAAAAACCATGACCGGTATTTCCACAGTTCACCAATCAGAAATGGTGAGAAATGAGCAAAAATCAAATGTATCAGCAGGAATATGTTCTTTCCTAGAGGCTCTTACCTCTAGACTCAGGGCATATAGAGTTGGAGGAATTAGAATTGAGGACTCTAGTAGAGTATTACATTTACCTTTCATCTTCTAGAATCTTCTTGCATTCCTTTGTTAATGGCTCCTTCTCTATATTCAAAGCAAGCAGTGTAGCATCTTTTAATTTATCCCTTTTCTGACTGCTACATCTGCTCCACCTATTCCCTTCTTCACAGAGAATTTCCCAAAATAATACTACTTGATTTAGTCTTTTCTACCTCTTCTTATTCCCGTGTACATTTTAATGGAGGAGTTCTCATCATGGAATCAAAATTTCACATTCTTTTTTTTAATCCCCTTTTTTGGTACTGCAGAATGAACCCAGGGCTTCACATATGCTAGGCAAGCACTCTACTACTTCGTTATACCCCTAGTCCTCCTTATTTTATTTTAATCATAACTAAGTTTCCAAGGCTGGCCTCAAACTTGTGATCCTCCTTCCTTATGAATAGCTACAATTGCAGGTGTGTGCCATGTATCTGGATTCTAGAAAATCATTTAAGATGAGTGTTGTAGACTGGATGTCCCCTTCAAAACTCAAGTTGAAGCTCCAACTCCCAATGTAATTTTTCTTGAAGAAAAGGCCTTTAAAGAGGTAATTAGAGTTAAATGAGGTGGTGCCCTAATCCAACATGAGTGGTGTCCTTATAAGAAGAGAGAGAGAGAGACACCTGGATGCTTGAGCACAGAAGAATGACCAGGTAAGAACATAGCGAGAAGGGGGCCATCTTCAAGCCAGGGGGAGAGGCTTCAGGAGACAATAATTCTGCTGGCTCCTTGATTTTAGACTTCTAATCTCCAGAACTATGAGAAATAAATTTCTGTTGTTCAATCCTCCTACTCTATGGTATTTTGTTATGACAGCCCTAGCAAACTACTGTAGAATGGGGATTTTGGAGTTATGTCTATTGGTTGAAAAACATGGGCTAACACATGTCATATAATTAAACAAGTCAATTGAATATTTGCACTGATAGCTCATATTTTATTACTTATTACCTATAGTATATTTTTAAATAGGAAAGATATAACTATTTTAAAAAAAGTAGACCAAATAGAGTAGTTATGAACATGTACCTCTCAGATATTAGACTTCAAGGAGCATAATCAACAGAGAACCTAAGTTGTTATACACTGAAGTCCATCACCAAAATCCTACTTGTCCTGGCTGTTGGGGTAGAGGTGCTAAGTGAGACCCATTCCAGGTGGAGACTCCTGTGACAGGAAACCTTAGCTCTAGGATACCCATCTGCTTTGCTACAATTTCCCCTGAACATCATGGCAGTCCAGGCTTCCTCCTCTCTACTTTGCCTTTCTTTCCTCTTTACTTTATGGGAGTCAGACCCACACGTGGTCTGATGGCTCTCAGCTTCCTCTGGCAAAGGGGAACTTTGTTATAGTTTGGATCTAAAGATGTCCCCCCAAGAGCTCATGTGTTAGGCAATGCATCAGTGTTCACAGATAAAAAAATCAGATTTTGAGTGGTAAAATTCATGAGTGGATTAATCAATTTGATGGATTAAGAATGTGAAGGGGCTACTGGGTGGTAACTGTAAGGCAGATGAAAATGGCTGAAGGAAGTTTATCACTGGGGATGTGGTTTTGGACTCTATTTGCCCTTGTCTCCTCTCTCTCTCTCTCTCTCTCCCTCCCCTCTCTTTGATTCCCAAATGCCAAGAGCTGAGCAGCTATCCTCAGTCACTCCTTTCGATCATGTTGCTCCTTTCCACCTTCATCCCAGAGCAACGGAGTTGACTGACATGGACTGAACCTCTGAAACCTGAGTTCAAAATAATCATTTTCTCCTCCTCCAACTTGTTCTTGTCAGATATTTTGGCCACAGTGATGAGAAGCTGACTAATACATCCTTGTTTTCTTTCATAGGTGGCTTGCTCAGTAAATCCATCTCTTATCTTTTTTGGAGCGGGTACCAGGGATTGAACTCAGGGGCACTCAACTGATCCACATCCCCAGCCCTATTTTGTGTTTTATTTAAAGAGAGGGTCTCATTGAGTTGTTTAGCCCCTCACTGTTGAT